TTCCTCTGATAAATTATCTTGCTAGGTTTAGGGTATGTGATAAAACGAAGTAACCTCATTGAAGGCTTGCTTCCGCTCTCCAAGTGTTCTCAGAGCACCGTATCGTCTGTCATTAATAATTTCTCTCATGGCCTGTGACAGAAACCACTTAAAACTTCAGAGCCATGCTCAAGAACAGCTTATAGTGAAAGTTGTACTACCTGTTCCCATGTCCAGTCAGATCCAACATTGGCAGATTTCAAAAGTGATTTGAAGACATCCCCAGCTTCCTATATCGTGAAGCAAAATTAATTTATGCAAACAGATAAGACCAAACTATGCTCAGACAAAACCAATCCTTCTATCGATGTCCCCAAAGGAACATGACATAAAACCAATCATACCGATTTATTGTTAAAGGAAAAATTCTCTTGATTAATTTGTTTTTCTTCCGTTTGGCTCTCAACTCTTTCACTTTCCACCATAGGTTTTTGGCTTTCTTCTGGCCCAGTCCCACTACCTTGCTAAAGAGCAGATGGACAATTATGATAAACAGATACAGAAGAAATGCATGCTAATAAGAAATACTCATTGCTAAGCTTTAAATACATTTGCGTTTGTAGCTTGACATTGTCATCTGAATCTCCATTGTTCCCGACCGAAATTTCATCTTCTCAACCCTGCAAAGATAGTTAATAGAAACTTATATAGGTCGTTGATACTCACACTAAAACTAAATAGAAAGGGAGCTAAATTGCAACTGTCAGTACATGTAGCAGCAGAAGTTTTAGTCACAGGGACAGAAGGACCATCGGTTTCTGAAGTACCACACAATTGTGATGTTTTATCTGCAATCATCTGAACTCGATCAACATTTTCGACTGGAGAAGAACTTCCAGGAACTGAAGCTGGCTGCTTCCAATCAGAAGTAAGAGCTAGTTTCTCACTGCCCTCAGAGGTTGAAGTTTGGCTTGGTAGACTAGTCGGAGCTGCAGTTGATGCAGTATCAGAACGAGTCAGCACCTTAGAAACATCAATAATGCCTTCTGCATGAGGCCCTTGAAGAGATGCATTTTCTGCTTGTTCACGCGCAATCTGGCGAGAAGAGTTAGAATTCACACAACGGGAAACACAGAAATACAGAAGAGAAGACAGTAATTTGTCTTAAGAGAAACCTTCATTTCGTCAGGCATTGTCCATGTTGATTGCTTCGTAATCTTATTGTAGTAATACCTGCAAACATATTAAAAATTCAACATCTGAAGCTACAGAAGGAGATTTTTATTTTTCATCAGTTGTATAAATGAAATAAAAACTTTAGTTGCATACTCACTTCTTCCATCAGGACTTGAATGTTCTTTCCAGTCAGTTCTTGCATCTGCTCTCTGTATCAGAGAATACACATTTTACATTAACTATATACCCATACCTTTTTGGTTAATCATTGCTTCAGATCACAAAAGAACAAAGGAAGAAAGAATAACGGTCCAGTTCAACAGAGCATAACAGAAAATAGGATATTGGCCACAAAGAATAATCACAATTGTTGTCGCTGAAAATATCTGAACGTCATAAGAAACAGACACTGATGGTTATCCTCCCATATTCCGTTAAGAGAGTGTCTAGATAGGATGAACTATATCACTAACCCCTTTCATCAGCTGAAATGACCAAATGAAAGAACTCCACAGGATTTCACTGTACTCACTTTCGTGTAACCCTAGCACCTATCACACAAGCTTGCACCATTGGAATTCTAGATATAAGCTCATATTTACATTCATATTAAAGAAAATATGTCCACCTCAAACCAAAGTGCAATAACTACTAGTAAGCAGTATATGTAATGCCATGGCACAAGACAGCTTTGAAAAATCCGAATGAGTAGATCATTCCTGAAATTTCATTTCTTTAGCTAGGGAAGCTTACAGAACTGGGGTGATTTTAAAAGACCACAAATAGATACATAACAGATGAGCCAAAATAAATCACCTCAAAAAGAGTCATCAACTTCAACAGGCTTCTCCCAAGTGGACTTCTTTGTTCTCTGTTGAAAAAATATCTAATAATAAGAAGAAAAAAAATAAATGTCATCCACCATATACTCGTACAACTGGAAACATGGAGCTAAAATAAATTTCTTCTACAAATTAAATGATGAGAATAAGATGTGTTCAGGTTGGGAAATACACAACGGTTGCACAATGTGCAGGACAATAAATCATCAGGAAACATCAAACACTTTCACTGCAGAAAAAAAAGAAGTAAAACCGGATGCCCAGCCAACAAATCCTGTGATTTTCAGCACATCAAACTCATAAATATCCAAGATGTCATGAGTATGGTTGCTTCCCACTAAAACTTTATGCTTGATAATAAGCCACCAGTTCAATATTTTTCATGCTAAATCCAGATGGAAGAACAAATAAGCAAGCAAAATATCATCAATATGAATAACAAGCAAGAATTAGATAGAATTCTTGTAAAAGAAAGCAAGAGATAGGTTCATTGAGTGAACAGATCACATACCATTACATTTAACAGAGCTAACAAGTTTATCAAACAAGTCTTTACCGAAATCACAGAATCAAAAACATATGACTAAGAAACGTTAACAATGAAAAACCTACTCAAAGAGCACAAAAAATTCAATTAATAAAGAAACTATCATCTGCAATAGCCAATGATGTGCTCTCCAAATTTCACACAATGGCAAAAATAGAGAAACAACTACACAATCTAGAATTAGCTTTTGCACAACCTTATTATGTGCTTCCAAGTTCTCAGCAGTTTATCTCGTTTGAATATCAATATTTTAGTTTAGCATCATATGTGAAAAACGCAAGCAAAACAATCAATTGAGAATAAACAAAAGTCACATGACTTGTAAGTCTTACTTCCTTCCATCGGCAGAGGTATGCTCAACCCAATCTGTTAGAGCCTCTTGAGAAGGTATAGGTTTAGTAAAAGCTTCCTTCAAGTCGCAAAAGTATATCTATATTAGTATTGCAACCAAAAAAGTTCAGAAGGTAGTTACAATAAAAGACATGGTAACAACCTTTGGTTGTTCAAATGTCGGATTCAGGATAGAAGATTGTGCAGTAGTCTGGCTGATAGATGCTCTATGTTGTGCCTGACTATGACTGCTTGGTCCAGTGACTTGAGGTGGTGCCCTTGAACCTTCGTAAGATGTGGCACTCTGTTTGTTCACAGAGTTAGGAACTAGATATCTAGTTTCTGTAAATATAACACAAAAATATTTTCCTTCCTTACCGGAAAAGAAAAGAGTGCCCTAGGGCCACCAAAGCCAGGCATACTAATATCTGGAGTCTGTACATAAGGCTGATGCAAGGAGGTACCAGAAGCAATTGACACATTTGGCTGTGAAACTAGAGTTGGGGGTCCAAGTGGCACATGTTGCACTTGCACCTGATTTAATTGGCTGGGTCTTTCATGTGAATGGTGCATTGACTGTAATAACTGAGGTGCATAAGATTGAGGTGGATATCCAATGTTCAATACTGTGCCACCTCTGCCAACACATTGAAAGTTCTGAGAAGACAATCGAGCAACTGGCTCAGACTGAGGAGCTTGAATGGTAGGATGAAACTGTAATGAAATATATGCAAAACACATGTAGGGTTGAGCTGACAAATAGTCTTCAGATACATATAAGACATAAATCATTACCTGAAAGTTCATGGGTGGAGCAAGCCTCGGGGTAAATCTATGGAGCTAGCATTAGGATGCTGGAATGGCTTTTAAAAACAAAACAAAAAAACGCTAAATTAGATGTAAAATTCAAAAAAATCATCACAAGAATATAAATATACTTAAATCACATATTCAATGGTCAGAGTCATTTAGAAATTAACCCACAGCCAGCGGCCTCAGGGTAAAAGAGTATTGGAATAAAGAGGGTGCAAAATAGAACAGATATAGGACAAAAAGAGCACGCTCAGCAGTTTAATCCTATGCCTACCTGAATGCCAGGATACTGATGGTTATTAGCCATCTTCGAGCAGTAGTAGCCTCAGTGCAACCAATGGAAGATCCACCAAATAATAATGGAAAGTGCCTGTATTTGATCTCTGTATGCTCAGTTGAAATATGGAGAAGAAAACTAGACCTGTACAACAACCACAAAATAGGAATGAGGACGTGAAATAGTAGTCTACATTTATTTGCAATTTGCAAGCAACAACAATACCCCTTGCCTTCTAAAGTTTCTGATAGAATATCCAACACGGCATACAACGATGTCTAGATTGAACACGGCAAACCCCAATACAATAAAAGGCAAGGTATAAGCATGGCATTCAAGCAGGTCTCTGTTCTAAGATGGTTAAATCGCCCACCATCCTCTCTGTTCAGAAAGTCCATGTCTTTAATAGGCCATAGAATGAGTATAAATTATCGAAAATGATCCACAAATCAATCAAAAGCTTAAAAGTTTTCAACTCTAGGTTTCAGTCTTGCAGATTACATGGAAATTACAACTAATTTCTGCCAAAATGAGACTAGAAACGAACTTATTCAATCAAATTCTACCCATAAGATACTCATTTTATATCAAACCCTAATAAGAACAATAGAAATGAGAAAATATCCCAAAACTTCAAACACTTCCCAATTGCTTTGAGTCAATCGCAGAATTCAAACACACGCCCAAAGGAACAAAGATAATTTCCGGCGAAGAGAAGGAAGAACTGTGGAAAATTACCAAATCGCCGGCGAGGAAAAGTCGATGAAGAAGTTGAACTCAAAGTTCAGAGCCAACACGACGGCACTGCGCTTCACCTATTAAATTATTAAAATTAAAAAATATATATATACTAGGATATGACCCGCGGTACACCGCGGGTTAATTATTTGATTTTTTTTTATTTTTTTAGAAACTGATGAATTTGTTGTGTATGATATTTTTTTTTGTATACTGCGGGTCACATGCGTTGTATATAAAAAATAAAATTTTAAGTTGCATTTGTTTTGTTTACTGTTTAAGATTGTATAATTGAATTTTGATTTGTTAATTCTAAGATTTCATCCGTGGTATATTGTCCCGTATTAATATCGACCCAAACTCGTCCCACCATATACTCTTGTCATGTGGAATTAAACATCATTTTGTTATTTTTAATAGCACTTTTATTTAAAAGACATATAATTTGAGTCAATTTAAAAAGTTTACTTTCAAATGGTTTCCATAACATATATAGTTTAAAATTAGTATGTATTTTTGGACCAACCCGTAAAAACAATTTATCATTGTATCTTAAAATACTAAATAACTAGTTAAATTCATCCTATACTATTATTTGGGAAGTACATAATAGATATAACCTTACGTTTGTAAGTTATTACATTAGAATGCCATTGGAGATAAAATTTTAAAGAGTAAATTAATTCATCTTATTAAAGATAAATAATTCAAATACTAATTTATTCAATTTAATTAATTTAATTAAATTATAAAAACGAAAATACATTATTAACTTTTTTTAAATGACCAATCAAAATGAACATATAAGATTTGATATCTAAATTACCATATTAATTTTTTACTAATCATTATGCTTCACCTCTCATCTTTATATGATTATATTTTTGTAAAAAAAATAAATCATCATATCATTCACATAATAAAAAATTTAGAATTTTTCTGCATATATCATGATTTGAATTTTTTTAAACGAATCTAAATCGTTCAATCTATGAAACGGGTCAAAAATTCAGATGAGTAATTCCGATTGAGTAACGGGTAAGAATTTGAATATTTATATTCGATTTCATACATTTATTTTTTTGAAACAAATATATTTAAAATATTTATAATAGGCGGCGGGTTATATATAATATATTATATGACTGAATGAGTTATGATCCTTATAACTATTTGAAAATTTCTATTTAATTTCATAAAATTCTTTTTCTGAAATTCATAATTTTATATAGTACAATAAAAAATTTAAATATTTTCATTTGGAAGATTTAAAAATATTTTGATTTCATATTTAAAAAAAATATCATATGATAGAAATAGTTATATTCCTTATAAGAGACGACATGTTAAATACTATTTCTTAAAACAGATATATTTAAAATATTTATAGCACGGGTTAAATTTAATGTACCATATGATAGAAATAGTTATAATCCTTATAAGAGACGACATGTTAATGTTAAGATTATTTGGTTGGATAGGTTAAATTAGGTTTGATACCTCTAAATATTTGAAAATTTTGATTCTACAAGTAATTTTAAAAATAACAAATGATGGATTGTGCACACAATATTTTCATTGGGATTCTAAAATAAAAATATAAACTCCATCGATTTGTTGAATTTGGTATAATGTTTATAACATATTTGATTATGCGAATAATTGTTAAATTCTGTAATTAGCTCAAACAAATATCTATTTCAACAACAAAAAGATTACAAACTGAAAAAATAAATTCTTAAATTAATTTAAAATAATAGTTAACTTCTTTAATTAATTCAAAAAAATCTACGTTTTAGATGCAATTCATTTATGATATTTTAATTTTTGATCTAACTGAATTATATGCAATCTCATTTTGTGGTGGTTGTTAACAAAAATTAACTTATTATTCAAACAATATTAATCTTTTAAAATAAATTGTTTCCGTTTTTATATCTTAAAAAATTATCCATAATTGAGTATTATATAAAACATATATTTATTTTAATATTATATATAAGGACTGACAAAAATTTTATATTTTTCACTTATTACTATAATACTAGGGGAGTTACCCGCGCCTTGCGCGGTAAGATGATTTTTCGAAAAAAAATTCAAATTATAAAGATTAAAAATAGTTTACTGATTTTAAAATACGATCGAATTATTACAAATGATCAAACATAACGTGTCTAGTATAAATGATTTATCCATCAATTATAAAACTCATAAGAACACCAAACTAATCAAACATTTTTGTAGACTTCTCCATGACCCATTCAATCATCCGACTCTGAATATCTTGCATTCTTTGTAGCCCAAGGAAAAGCCATCGAGAGTGTACTATGTATGGAAAACTTGCTAGGTTATTATCCAAAACAAATGCGAAGATCCAATTAATATATCATGATAAACTCTGAATATTATCGTTCCTAGATCTCTTCAAGATCGTAAAAATCCGGGCCAAGATAAAATCTAAAACATCCACCTCCATTCATGAGACATGCTTTCCCCTGAAAAATATAAAATTCGATAAGATCATATAATATATTAGCTTCCTTAAGGTTATTATTTTTTAATATGATAAAGAAATATCAATCAATACCTTTATACTCATCAACCCGCCAAAACCTCAAAACACAAAATACAAGATCACGATGGTATGAACAATCGTATTCTCTGTTAACTCACACCCTCATAAAATAATCGGCCAAATCTTCCACTGCGTAATATCTTAATGTCAACCCCTTTTAATTTACAAACCAAAATAAAAAACGACATATATACGAAAATATTGGCATACAAGATAGAAAGGAAACTTACCTATAATTCTTTAATATGAAATTAAGCACAGTTGCATCCATTTTTTTTTTTTTTTTGAATTTAATGTTAAATTATATTCAAAAGAAAAAATAAACGTTTTTACAACGAAGTGCGGCGTGAGTTTGAGATAGGGTTGAAAAAAATTAGCTGATAAGAATGCTATGAGAATTTGAAAGTATTAGCTCCGAGTAGCTAACCACATTTGGTACGCCTTGTCGTATCTTCTATCATCCCATACGTCGAAGAGTTATGATCCGGTTTCTGACTTGTTTATCTATCCACTTTGTGATGAGTGGTTCCGAGTGTTGATCCTCGCCGTGCCTACGACCATTTCGCTCCCGCCATATCATGTAAACCGTAGTTTGAAGAGCGTATCGAATTAGGAAGCTCTCCACTCTGCCTCGTTGATTATTTGAAACATGATCGATGAGTTGTGACCAGCCTGTAGTGAAACGTGCTTTGAGAATCCCCTTAGCAGTAGACTTCCAAATTCTTGAGGTAAATGAGCAAGCGAAAAAGAGATGATCTCTAGTTTCCACAGAGTTTTGACAGAAGACACAAATACCCGTTGCTCCACCGTTCCATCGGAGCATGCGATCTCCTGTAGAAAGACGGTCATGGGCAGCCAACCACATACAAAAAGAGTACTTGGGAGTGTTATGTGGAAACCATACTCCCTTGCTCCACGAGACAGTGTTTGAGGTCGTTCTAATGTGATTCCAAGTATCCTTTGTCGAGAACTTTGGATGAAAAATGTCGTTCTTTCCTCTCCATACCACTGTGTCTACCTTCTCAGTTCTTTTTTGTCGCTGCGATAACAGAGCTGCTTCCATCAAATTCAGGTAGCCCGCACGGTGTCTTCTCCTCCTGCGGCCAGTCCAAGCTTGAGCTACTGAGCTTTGTCGACTGATCCCCATGTCTATAATTCCTCTATCTCCCGCAGTATCAAACAGCCTGTTCATCGGCGACCAATCATCAAACCAGAAAGACGTGAGTTCACCATTGCCGACTTCGACTTTGCAGAATCCCTTTGCCACTTCTCGATACTTAAGAAGCTTTTTCCATATCCAAGAACCCATACTCGTGTTGTTTTTGAGGGACCAGAAAGATGCTTTCTTTAGAAGGTTGGTTTGTATCCATTTAACCCATAAAGAGTTTCCCTGCGATACAATTCTCCAAATGAGTTTTAGACAGCTTACATTGTTGGCCTCCTTTAGCGATCGCAGCCCGAGGCCTCCCTCATGCTTTGGTGTACATACTTTCTCCCACGAAATCTTTGCTTTATGGGGCTGCAGGTCCGTACCCGACCAGAGAAACGATGAACAAAGATTTTCAATTCCTTCTATGCACTCTTTTGGTAGTCTAAAAGCAGCTAACCAAAAGTTACATATACTCCACAACACTGATGAAATCAAGTTTAGGCGACCCGCAAAGGATAAGGAGCGAGCTGACCAAGAGTTGATGCGTTTCCGTATTTGCTCAATGAGAGGTGCATAATCCGCAGTTGCAAACCGTTTTGTTACCAATGGGAGTCCTAAGTAACGAACCGGAAGGCGCCCTATATCAAAAGGGTATTTTTCAGAGAGTTGTTGGATAGAAGATGATGAGATTCCAGCAAGGTAGAGCGTTGATTTCTCCATACTAATCTTTAGACCCGAGTGTTTTGCAAACTCATCAAAGACCCCAATAATACCTTCCTATCGAATTGTCCACGAACGTAAGGGATTCTTTTAAGACCGCCAATACGGACGAAAAATCCCACCATATCTAAGTTTTAGGGATTTAATTTGTTAGCTAACCCATAGTTACATTAAAACCACAAATAAAAAACAAAAGGAAGAAAACAAAACTTACCGATAGGAATATCAGTCAAGATCCTCTATCTTTTTATACGTCTAAATCTTTCAAACTCATATCAAGTAAAGACCTATTGATTAAATAAAGAAACTTCTTTATTGATATGAAAACACAATAAAAAAAAATTACTATTACAAAACAATGAAATATTCAAAACCCTAACAGAAGCAAAAGTATAGTAATGTTAAAAACCATAATGCAATAATCAATATGTCGTCATTGTGAGAGACAATTTTTTGATCTCGTCTTTGCTTGTCAAGAACTAAATATCTTATCTCTACCAACAAAAACACTTCGCATTGCCTCTATTTAAGGTGTCTAAATCGCTGATATCTTCATCTCTATCTTTCAGAGACTTCTA